AGAACCCAAAACAAATAAGAAACTGAGAGAGAGGGTGAGGGAATTAACTTGATAAGTTAATTAAGTCGATCAGTAAAAGAATTGGAAAAAAATTATAGACATATTATATTATTGGAAATAATCGAAAATAAAAAAAATTACAATATGGGGAATAATATTTAAAGAAAACACGGTACCGGAATTTTTAATTTGATGCAAACGATGTTTTATTCAGTGTAGCCTGGATTTTGTCCTTCGGATTTGATTTGAGATTTTTCTTTCGTCAGCGCAAACTTGTTGAAACTTTTCCAACTGGTGTGTGGAATCGTTGCCGTGTATGTTTCGTTTTCTAAGCAAATATTTTCTCTTTTGCAATCTTGCGAGTTTGAAATCTAGTTGTTGTTGAAATACTTGTAGGCGGACATATTCCATGGTGAGGAAACTTTAGATGGATTCCCTACAAATTTTGAGTGAAAAATTTTAATATATTAAATAATAGGACAACTTGAATTTGGGACAGCAGATAAGTGGGGCAATGGTGAAAAACCACAATAATACTAATCAATAGCTAAATGAGCAAGGTCACTTACTGAAAGGTAGTCACCGCCGGCTTCGTGACGTCTGCCGAAGGTTCAAGAAAAGAAGTATGATGCGTACTAAGAAGAGCACCAGAGTTTTGGTACCAGGATGAGATAGCTTTCAGGTATTTTCCTGTGTTATGTGAAGACGCAATTTTGAATTAAAAAAAAATGGGTCATTAAGAGATAGTTGGAGTGGACTCTTAATTGGAGTGGGATAGTGGAATAGTGGGAGTGAGATAGTGGGAATATTGATTGGTGATAAGGTGATAGTGGGATAGTGGGAGTGAGATAGTGGGAATATTGATTGGTGATAAGGTGGGTTATAACCCACTACTTTTTTATGTATTAAAATAAATATAAAAATCTAGAAAAAAGTATGACAAGTTTAGAAGGCATTGAGAGGGTTTCTGCTAAAAATCCCTTCCTGAATACATATAGATATAGATTTCAATACTACGTGATGCTTGGTCCAGTGCAATGAGAATTAAAATATTAAAATAATATCTTAAAATTTGATCATTTATGATTCCCGACCAAATTGAAAGGAATTGACCAAAACCCTCACTAATGGGCCTCTATCCATCATTCCATTTCCCTTTCCAATTCCAAAGCAGGAACCAAGCGCCCCTTTAGTCTTTTATTGAATAATTATAAATTTATAATTCCTCTTTTTTTATTAATTACAATTGACACTGCTATATTTGTTATTCAACTTATGTGAAAAGACAAGCATGCCCTTTTTGTTTTATAAACAACATAACTTCATTAGGATAAATTTATATTCATAACATAAAGTACATCCAACATATAAGGCCAAAATGGTCCAATGACCATCAGACGAAATTTAATTTTTGACTCTCAGACTATTAACTAATAAGTTTTAACCTTCCAACTAATTAAAACATATAATTCTAATCATTCTGTCAACAAAGATAAAGAATTATAAGATGCTAGTGGCCCTCAAACTATTACAAAATTCAACTTTTGACATTCCAATTATTAACTGATAAATTCTAACCTTCCAACTAATTAAAATGTATAATTCTACCATTTTCGTCAACTTGGGTCGTTATATCGAATAGAAACATCTATTGATAAAAATTTTGGGATGTGCCAAACCGAGTGTTTGACAAATCAATAAGGTTTAGATAGCGATGTAAAGTTTGGAGGAATCTCACCAGATAATTGATTAGTTGAGATATTTAGAAAGTTCAAATTTGGAAAGGAACTAAGACTTGTTGGAATTTCTTAGAAAATGAATTGTGTGCTAGATTTATGTCATTAAGACAAGTACATTAATCCAATGAATTTGGAACAATACCAAAAGATGAGTTAAATTCCAAATGAAGGCAACTCAATTAATTCAAGTTACCTATCCCTGCTGAAATTTCTCTATTCGGGGGTTTAGGTTTTAGGTTTTCAATTGATTTTGTTCAAATTCAACAATCGGAGATTTGGTAAATTAGTTTATAAGTTAAAAAGGGATAAAACAATTTTACTTTAACACATGTCCTGTGAAGATGAAAACACCCCTCAATTATGCCCTTACCACATACGTGGTGATGTTTTTGTTTGATATAACGATTCAAATTGACAGAAGAATTAGAATTATATATTTTAATTAGTTGGAAGGGTAAAATTTATCAGTTAATAGTTAAAGGGTCAAAAGTTGAACTTTACAATAGTTTGAGAGCCACTGCTGCGCATGTCATGCTATTTTTGTTAAATATAACGGTTTAAGTTAACGGAAGGGTTAAAATTATATGTTTTAATTAATTAAAGGGCTAAAACTTATCGGTTAATAGTTAGAGGATCAAAAGTTAAATTTTGTAATTCTTTGAGGACCATTGGGGCATTTTGCTTAACTTATAATAAATATAATTCTTCCGTTTTATAAGCAACGTAATTCTATTGCAATAAATTTACATTAATAGCAAAAAAAAAATACACCAAATATATAATAAATATGCATTTGTTCTGAATTCTAATTAAATGAAGAAGGACGTCTTCCAACGTGACCCAAAAAATTAATTTTTGTTGGTATCGTGATACTAGAACACAAGATAAACACATAACAAAATGGGAGGAATGCATTATAAAATTTTAATACTATCAACTATCCACCGAATTTAGAAAGAAAAATAACTTTAGCTTTAAAATTTCAAACATGTGCAGACAATATTAAATTCAAACCTAACCCACCTCTTATAAATAGAAGAATCGAAATCCCAAAAAAAAAAAAAAAATTCAAAAGAAGTATCTTTAACCGCTAATTGGAGTCAACGTTGTATTTTTAATCCTCGTTGTACCACATCGGTTATCAATATTTTAGCTTCTAATCCCTGAAATATTCAATTTTGATTGAATTAGTCTCTGATGTTTCGATCGATCTAAATAAATGTAGTCCCTAAAGCTTGTTAGTTGACAAAATTGGTCCCTAATGGTTTATAAAATCTAAGAAAATTTAGTTATATTTATAAAAATACAAACAAAATATATAAAAATAATTTAAAAGTAGAAAATTCATAATTTTTTTTTTAAAAATAAGTATAAAGTAATCTAAGCAATTCAATTAACACCCAAATAAGACATGCGTTACATGTTCTATATTTGTTTTTCTTGTGTACTTTTTTTAGTAAAATAAATTAAGCATTAAAATTGTACATGCACTTTTGTATACTTTTATGCACTAAAATACAAATTTACATATCTACCAATTGTACTTGATCAAAAGTGAATATCTCACACTTATTTTAATTTCTTGAAATTTTTAAAATTTTTGTGATTTTTCTATAAATTCTCTATAATTCTTATAGGTTAGGTTCTACAAAACATTAGAAACCAATAATATTGGTCAATAAATATACTTTTGGAGCTATATTTATTTGGATCAAAACATTAAAAATTAACTTAATTGACATTGAATACTTTAGAGATTAGTTTTGTTTTGGCTGAATTAACGAAGATCAATTTGGTCTAACCCCAACCTTTTGAGGACAAAAAATGCATTTTCTCCAACTGCTAATTGTTTTATATAAGTTTACACTTATAGGTGCAATTGCAAATAATCCATCACAAAAACTTCTTTCTTTTTTCTATGCAAGTGGATATTTACGATCCCTTCCATCTTACCGTCCAACTCAACCTTGCTTCAAGACTCCTGCCTTTTACTTCTACGAAAGGTACAAAAAAAAAAAAAAAAGGTTTTTCCGATTCTAAACACCCCTACTCCACGCAACGCAAAAACCAAGAACTCGAGGCGGGGAGGCAGATCCTTCCTTCTTGTTGTGATATTTTCCTACCTGGTCAGTGTGTAGTACTGTTCACTTCAGTCAATGCCCTTTTGAAGTTGGGCAATTGAATCCTACCTGCAACTCTTTTTCTACTCTGTCCTTTTTCTTAACCACCGCGGTTAATCTTCCCGTACAAGGCTGAGCTTGCCCATCTTTATACCTTCCACTCTTCAATTCTCGCCAGTAGCATTTAAAGACAAAAACATGAGCCAAATCAGACTCTCAAAGCAGTTGTACTCTCACAAAAGTAGAATACTTTTATTCTCTTCCAAGCTCAGTGTCTCCAATCCCTGCCTCCCTAATTCTCCTGTTACTTCTCCCAAAATCAACATTTCTTCTAATTCTACTGCTAATCCAAAGCCTAATCTCAAGAAAACCAACGAAGTTGATACTTTGATGACTTTTCAGAAACAAGAAGGAGAATGCATTCACAACACTCTTCAGTTCTTGAGTCCATCCCAACTCCTTCAAGTCCTTGAGGTGGCTGCCGTTCTCCACCCCTTTATCCTCCATACCATCCTCTCTATCCTCGATTGCAACCCATCCCTTCGGCCTAAAACCACCTCTGAAAATCTCCATAAATTCTTCTCAAAAAATGGAGATAGCGAAGAAGGTAAAGTTGTGATCTCTGACGAAGTCACCACTGGAAAGAGTAAAGTTTGCGGTTTTGTCAGTTTCAAGAATGGTGTGGTTGGTGGGCGTGGTAGACAACGTGGGACCCGGATTAAGGAAAATACATCATCAATTTTTGGTCCCATTCCTTAAATGGGTGATGATTCTGGGGCTTCGTCTTGTGCAAGAAAATAGAATTACAATTTGCATTGCTGACATTATTGGATGTCGGTCTCTTTTGTAAATTTTTCTTTTTTTTTATTTTCTAGCAGATCAAGTGAAGAACCCTCTATTTGTTTTGGCGTCTGGGATAGAGGTTTCTGCTGTTTGGGATATTGCACATACAAGTCACTGGATTTTAGTCGCTTCAAAATGCTTATCGGTGGATATTTTAGTTATAAATTCTATGTTTCATCTGTGCTTGTATAGACCTTTTCCTTTTTAATTTTTTGTGATCTTTTTTTTTTGTAAAGTTGTTTTTCATAATCAGATGCTAATGGGGCCACGGTTAACTGACTTGTCTGGCTTAAATTGCTAAAAGAACGAAGGATCATGCTTGAAATTCTAAAAATGCAATATGGACGGCCTACATTGTTCGTTTTGCATTAGCTGAATTGAACAAATCCAAGAAGAGCAAGAATTGGCTGTTTAAAGCATCCGGGTAGCCATCAAGATAAGCAGCAGCAAATGACAGCAATGTGAAAAGTAGTCAGCCATGAACCAGCATCTAGAATTGCTCAGAGATGTAAACTAATCAAGGAACCGATCAGACAATGAAAATAGCAACCCTCATCTCCAACTTTCAATGAGAGATACCTCTTGAGAAGAAATGCCTTCAAAATCACCATCTACGAAGGCAAGAACCGATTAAACAAATGATGCTTTTGTCTTTTACTGCAAATGTTGCTAACTTTGTCGTAAAGAATGGTGTAATTTGAGCTGCCTACATTCCTGAGATAGCAGAATTCATTATCCTTGTAGCTGTAGGCTTGGTTTGTAGTACCCAATCCGCTAATTACCAAATTCCCCTTTACAAGCATGCTACTGTTTCCCTTCTGTATGTTTTTGAGACAGCTGACGGACAATCCCTGGTCAGATTTCTTAATCTTCTTCTCGTCAAAACCCAGAGCTACATTTGACACAGAAACATATGTTCCATTTGCTCGATCCGTAACATCTGTATACAAGTAAAAAGGAAAATGTTTCAGGGATTTGATCGACTTTACTGAAGACAGAGTCCTAGCAGAAACCATGTCATTGAACTCAATTGTCTGATTTACAATCTGCCTATTAGCCTCGTTTCCCAGAACCATAAAGTTCCTGTATTTCAAGTCTTGAGTTGCCTTGGTGATGATAGTACCGTATGATGATGACTTCACCCATCCTTCTGATGTTATAGTCCTACTGGCATTTATGAAGAATGATCCATCCAAACCTGTGAAATTCGCTGCGAAGGAAAAGGTTAGGGGCGGGCTATCGTGACTTAACAGCTCGCCTTCTGTCTTCGCACTCTTTTTGTCCAACCAAAGATGCAAATTTGCATCTATGTACCAGACATTCAAAGCACTCGCAACACTAAAGCCAAGTTTATGAGTCTTTCCATCCAATATCTTGCCCAAAAAAGGAGTAATCTCAATGTCATAGGTAGGCAGATCAAACGATCCAATTCCGGTAATAGGTCTCCACAACAGGGGATCAATACCCCCAGTATAAACCACTGTAAATGGCCAGATAGAACCAGCCAAAACATCATCTAAACTCACAAGAACCTCTCTAAAAGGACCATTTCCTGCGTAACCTGTAAGGTTATTGGCAGCAATGTACTCATTTGGAAAATTTCCGTACCAAAATTCATCATTTTCATGAAATGAAACATAAACTTCCAAGACAGCCCTGTACACATTTGGTGGAATACGAAACTCCTTAGACTCCACATCGGTAGAATTCTGAATTTCAAACCATAACCCATCATTCAATGGCAAATTTCTTGATATGGGCAATATCAGATCAGCCCCAGAATTAGCAGAATCATCTATATTCAGCCCACTAAAACCATAATTTTCCTCAGCGGGATAAAAATGCACACTAATATTCACATGGTAAATACCAGTATAAGTCTTGTCAACAAGATTGCCCAGATAAACAGCAAGGGTCTGATTAGTCATAAGCAAAGAATAATACCTAGTGATGTCCTTCTCAACAGTCCAAACAATCCCAGTAGCTCTTGGTTCAGCAGTACAACTCCTCAAAATCTCCACACCACCAAGCCAAACTCCAAAAATTCTATCGAATTGCCTCCCTTTGCTGGAGGCCTTCCATTCAAAAACAATTTTTGAAAATTTCTGAGAAGGGCAGTTGGAGGGTGGAGTGTAATTTGCAAAAACTGGTGGCTTGCCATAGGTGAAGCCAAAATCATGTTGAAGAATCAAATAGGAGCAAGGCTTAGTCTTGGGCAGTTGTATAGGCTTTGTGACTTCAAAATAGGTTGTTGGAGCAGGGGTTGGAGCATTCCCATTGTCTTCAGAGAAGAGTTGTGAATTGAAAAGAGGCTTTGTTTTGTGGAGATTGTTTGCAAAGGAGAAGATAGGGTGGTTGAGAAGGAAGAAAAGAGAGACGATAAGGTGAAAGAGGAAAGAGAAATTAAAAGCCATGATTGACGGAATGGTGGTTGGGGGATTGGAGCTCTACTCTTAAAGGTAAATTTAGAGGGGTAGTTAATCACAGCTAGATGATTACTATGTTGCAGCAGCTACATGGTAGTATCTTACTTGCCTTAGTACTAAACCTCGAACGTTGTTTTGAATTGGGAAACAAAGTTCTGGTCTTTGCTCCAAAATAAATCTTGTAATCAATGGGGAAACAGCCCTGAGTAGGATTCAATCGTTCAAATCATGAATAAAGAAGATGACGAAAATCCATTCATCTCCGGACGGCTCTTTTATAGCAAATCAGTCAATTTCTTAATACACCGAACGCCAATAGATTCTTTTCTATTTTATCTTGTTCACCCTGGAAAGCCGAATCAACGGACTACCAAGCGATGTGTGGAGGCATTTGCCTAGGATTATGAGGTCTTTTTGTTACATGTGTGGCATTTAATTCCTAGTCAAACATGCTTTCCTAAGCTGGAATTATGCGTTTAGAATCTTCTGTTCCCAAATTAGTTTCTGTCTCCTCTGTCCTTTTTTTATATAGCTGTCACATTGCCTCTAATTTTTTGATAATCCAAAATCAAACAAATCAATAATAATCGATTGATAAGTTTATTCAAAACCAATTCATCCAATAACTCAAAACTTTTTTTCTTTGGATAAATAAAGCAATTCCGATAACTCAAAACTTTTTTTTTCTTTGGATAAATCAAGTGGTGGTTCCCTAATCAGAATTCCTTCAACACTAGTTTACATGAAAAAGAAGACTGCTAGTCTGCAACATTACATCCATCAATTGATTCTCGAACTATTTATTCTTTTGATTCAATTGCTCACCAAATCCCTACGATATCATTGCCTTTAACTCTGTCAATCATGTTGGATTATGTCGTTTACACCCACAATTACTCACAAAAATCGTGAGGGCTCGTTATTTTTGTTGCAAGATTAAAGATATAATGAGTGAATCAAAGTCCTTGTTAGGGTTGAAGAAAAAAAATGATTTGGTGTAAAAAATAAAGAAGAGTTTTAGTTGATTTTTATTTTTACGACCAACAAGACTTTTTTTTGTTAAAAAAGAAAATAAAAAAGTTTAGAATTATCTCTTTTAATTGATTTTGATTAAACTTATCAACCAATTATTATCAGTTTATTTGTGTTTGGATTATAAAAAAGGACGTGACAACCGTACAAAGAAGGGACAGAAGAGAGGAGTAAAAACTAATTTGAGAATAGAAGATTGGAAGCAGGAATTATGATAGTAGTGGATTTTCTGTCGCAATGTGATTCCATTGTTCTACAAATAGTGGGGAAAAAAGAAACACGCACTAACACACCAACAACAAGAAGTCAACAACCGCAACTGAGCGGTCATCAGCAGGGACTTGCACGGCCAGTTTCGTTTTCCTGTTTCTTTAGAAGGTTCAGTGTACAACAACTCGAGCGTTGGTGTCGGAGGAAAAACAGACTATAAATTACTTAAGGGGCAAGACTGTAATGGCTGTTCAATAGGATATAGTAATGGATTCGTATAATAATGGTTTAATGTGTAGATATTAGCTTTGCGTGGCCTGGGGGCCAGTTGGTTGCTCGCCGTCTTAAACTTAAAGGGGAATAATAAATGGAATGCTTCCATCAAGCTTCTGGATGAACCAAGATAGTGGGAGGTATGACCAAGTTGCTCGAGTAGTAAAATAATAACCCTCACACCTATCCAAAACGGTTCTAAGAATGGTCATCAACTTGAATGAATAAAGTTCAACTTTATTGTTCATGTCGCCTTGTATGTATGGACGACAGCCACTTTGTCAAGGCATTGTTTCGTTGAAGGATTGAAAGCCCTGAATAAAAGCAGGAAAAGTACATGTACATATAAAGCAGTTTGACATCTCAGACTTCACCTATTCAATGAATAAGACGAGGCATTTTTTTTTTTTTCATTTTCTTTAGGCCCCTAATCAGATCCAGTACTGTATGTTTTCTTTTCTGTAGGGTGAAGAATACTGATCTATCGGGTTGGACCATTATGTTCAACTGCCTTTCGTCTTATTATTATCTTTTTTTCCTTCCTGCATTTCTGTTCTTGCTTTGTTGGCGGCTTAGAAGTCCAAATCATCTAGCAATTCACCCTGTTTTCATCACAAGGTCACAATTCCCAAGCAGATAATGATGTATTAAACTATACTACTTTAGAAGTGTTGTCCTAGATAAACCAAACAAAAAGAAGCCATAGTGGAAGTCACAAACCGTTTACATCAAAGCCAGTAAAAAAGATTTTTTAAATGCATGATAGACTTCCCCCCCTGAAATTGTAGACACCCACAAAAGATTTTGGTTGTGGTTTCTGACGAGAGCAAGGATACCCAAAGAAGCGTCTGCTTAGACCCGGATTGTAATCTACTGATGTAACATTGAATCTTAGAAGTACCCAATAAAAGGGCCTGTTTGTATGCACCAAATTTAAAAACATTTGGTGTTGTCAGACATATTGCAATGAATTCCATACAATGAGCTTATGATATAAATAATCAGGGGGGGGGTCGCATTAAGACTCAGTTAAGGGATCGGTTCAATACAGATAATTGACCAGAGTCTCCGTTCAAAAAGAAAACTTCCAATGGCACGTAAGATGATGATGAAATTGATGAAACAAATCTATAGGTAGGTTGCAAAATCTTGCTACCTTTGGCGCATGGAATGGTTAAAAGACGAGGTCCAGTTCTCATCTGCCAAACCTGCAAGCAAGAGTTCAAATGACTTAATCACAAAATTTACCTATTTCTATGCAAGTCACATTATTTTTGAGAAAAAAAAAGACTACCATCAAACTTAGCTGACTGGGAAAACAACATTTGTTCTGGCCTATTATGACGAGCACTCAAACAAACCTTGGCTAATTTATTAATCTTCAACTATTAAAATAGCAAAAGGTAAGCCCCACATGGTAATTCATGACAATGTCCAGATTGTTAAACCACAATATGAGGAAATTGTTAACAGTGCGTATGATCCTAGAAAGAAAGGTCCGACTAAAATGACAAGCGTGCAGCGCAAAGGACCTAGAAAACTCCTGGTAAAATGAAAGAAAGCCTAATACGTTTAGATTCCAAAGAATGATGAGTACAGAGAATCGTTGACATAATCTGAAGAGTATGCACCAGAAATTACCTCGACTATCCCTTTACGTGGTGCATGGATGGCTAAACAAAGGCAATAATCACTCTTCTCATATTGATACCCAGCAGATCCTACAGTTGCGGAATTCTTCTTGACAAGCATCTCAACAAACAAGCAGCTCGCATCTCGATATCCCTGAAAGATGTCAAAGTAAATCACCGGAAACGGCGTGTCATTGAAGATAAAATAGCTCGTTGCTAGAAGCAAACCTTCCATAGTCGCACAACAACAAGTGCCTGCGTGTCCAAAAGCAATATACGACCAAGTGAATCAGTTATTGCAGCCAGAGTACCACTAGGTGATAATGTGAGTTTTTCTCCCTTCCTTGGGTAATCCTTCAAACAAGTAAGAGGAGAAGCTGCCAAATTGAATTAATTCAAGATACGAGTCATGCAGAGTTCAACTCAGATAGAAAATGGAAGCAGACCAATACCTTACTGAAAACATCGATAACATCAGTCTAGAAAGCCCTCCACTGAGGGTTTTGTAATAAAACATATACTAGTATGCAGTAACTGTAAAATTGCATCCCATGATATGAACTAAATGATATTGCTTCAGAAACACTTTTGCAGGAAAAGCAAAGGAAGCCCTAAAAAATCAGAAAAACTTTTGTCAGAATGCCAAGTGAAAAGCTGAAAGGTAATGAAAACAATAGCCTAAATCCAATATGAGCATGATATAAGACAATGTTCAACAACTAAAAGCACTATACAACCTCGAGCAAGCGGTTGGGGTTTTTCCTCTTGTTTCTTTGTTGTTGTATCACTTCGCCAAATCATTTTTGAGATAGAAGATATAGTTGAAAATGTTGCAGGCACAACTTTTGACAGAATAGCTCCAACTATTGATCTGCTTCTGTCCTCCGAAAGTCTTGACAAAGTATATTCAACAGTGAGAAGACATCAAGAGGCATAAAACATCACAGCAATCCAAGGATTAAAAAAAAATTGAAGACCAAAAGCAGTATTACAAGAATCTTATAACCAATCTTCAAGCAGTCTAACCTGTATGCTGAAATCACCGCATCATCTCCAACTGTGACTGCACAATAATAACGTTGACTTGACTGTCCAACAATAAAAGCAGCTGAATTCAAAAACCAGATTAACATTCAGAAAGTTGCCAAAAGTCAACCTATACAAAAGAATAGCACTAAGCTACACAGGCACTTCCACTAAAGAAAGCAAACTATGTCAAGATAGAGCATACAAAGCTCCAAAGGTGATGATATCCCTCAGTTAACTAAGATATAGCACACTAGATTTCTCGCACAAAAAGTCTTACTCAACCAGAATGGCTAATTGCAAAGAGGAACTAAAGAGGTTTCAGATGACAAGTGTAAGTACCTGAGGTTCCATTAGAGGAGGGGGCATGATGCCAGTGATAGCAGCATCAGCACACAATCCATACTTGCTAACATTCCATAGCTGATAAGGAAGCCTTCCAAATGAAGCTCCAGAATATTCTTGATCTCTCCTCATGTAACTCTCATCCCAGAAATTCAACTGTCTTTCTCGAAACCACCGATGCAGCATACTCTGCAGATATTCATCATCAAGGTGTAAAACAGCGTGTTAGATTCAAAAACATTAAAAGTTTCATTTAAGGACTCAATGATAAGAAAAAGGTCAGCACGGAAATTGTTAAATATTTATACAAGGCAAAAGGACTTGTAGCAACTTTGAAGACCTCAATGATAACTCCACCAGCTCAAACCAAGCAGCAGACTGGAAACTGCTATTAAGTTTACTAGTTTACTTATTTTTATCTATTTGACTTGATGACTCTTTCTCATCATGCAAATGCTATTCCTCCTAATTCTTTTGAGATTTTCTTTAATTTCCTCTCAGCTCTCAAGGGAAGAATTAACTACATATTTACTATTTTGAACATTTAAAAAGTATAAAGCATTTTAGCAGATCTTTCCTTTCTTCTACAAAACAGGTTTTTTGTGATAACAGATGACGTCCAATAAACTAGATATGAGCAAAATGCTGACTTATTTGCATATACCTGAATGTCAGATCCATCAAATCGAGCAACTGTTGCTCGCATAACAACACAAACCTCCTCGGAAGATGTATCTTCCAACAGGTCCTTGTTAGTTCCACGAACTCTTAACTTGATAATCTTGGCATTGTTTACAAGCTGAAGAACAATTATGTGATCGTTAATAAACTTTTAACCGACTTAAATTCCACTGACACAAAAGAAATCAGTACATTCTCCTGATCAGGAAACTTTTAAGTGTCAACAGAAAAAAAATGAAATAACTGAAAAGGAAGACATCTATCTTGTAACTATAATCTCTCTGCGATGAGCTCTCTAAAATAAAAAGAAAAAAGAACATCCCAGCTAAATGTACCTCGCACTATTGTCTAAACTCAATATCTTCCCATGTTTTCACCCAAGTTTTGTTAATTCGACAATCCATTTTGTTCAACTCACTACAAAGTTCCAAACTTTACTCCATTTCAATAGAATCCCTCAACAATTTTGCGTCAAATAAGCTAATTCAACAATTCCTTGACTCAATTCTACCAAATAAATTTAAAGGGGCCACTCGCATAAAAAAAATGTTGAAAACTTTACTCATTTCCACTTTTCTGCACAAAATAATACTACATAAAGCTCCCAACTTTGCTCATTTTCCTCCATTGTTTCCACAAACTAATACACATAGTTCCAAACCTCACTCAATTTCGATAATCCCACAACGATTCCTCGCCAATCAGCTCCATACCCATAATTGCATTGGTTCATAAATGAATTCATACCAAAAAGTAAAGTAAGAATTTAACCTGTTTGTGAATGAGATCGCCTTGGAGAGAATAGATTAAAAGAAAACCTGAAGAAGTTCCAATAGCAAGCACCCTAACGTCATCAAACACCAGCCACTCAATAGCGGAGATGTACTCGGCCGCGATCGGGGAGAGATCAGGGACAATTTTGAGGCGGTAAGAAGAGGGATCGGCGTCGTCGGACCAGTGGAGAACAAGGACAATTGAGCGGTTGGCAAGGGCTAAAGAATGGGTGTCAAGAGCAGTTAAAAGATTGGGATCGCTCACCAGCCAGCCTTCTTTACCTGCCCCAACATCCGATAAGTCTTCGCAGGCTATGCTGCCCAGCTCCGTCGTGTGGTAGCGTCGCGACATCGGTGGTTTGGAAAGGAGCGGAGCGGATTGGTGAATTCGATCGGAAGATGGTGAAAATTGACAGTTGGGATGTGAGGCAATCGACCGGGGACTGGGAGAAGGAAGAATATTAGAAAGCGTGGCAACGGAAGAAACGTATTACATACCGAAACTCGTACAGTTAGTAGGCAGCTACGGATGTGAACATCAAAATACATACATTTTGTGACGAAGTCATCCTTTCATATCAAGTGAGTCAACATTTATTGATATCAAACACTCTCTAATCTTCATCAAGTAAGTGAAATAGATGAACTAAATTCAAATATTCATCGTCGTTTGATTATTTGAATGAAGTTAAAATTGTATTTAAATTTAGTTTGTTTATTTATTGAATCAAACTCAGACGAATTTTATCAAGTCGAAAGTGTCAAATCAGAGTAATTTAAATTTTTATATGTAAATTTCAAAATTGATGCAAATTGAACTGAGTTAAAAAGATGTACCGAATATAAAATATTGTTCATGTTCAATTTGATTAGATGGGATCAAGTTCCAATGAGTTCTTAATGCACTTTTATTGTTCCTTTTTTTTTTTTTTTTTGAAGGAGTGCACTTTTATTGTTCAAATATCATTAACCACTTTCCAAGTGGTACTATGATATTGTCATAAAGTTCATAAAAGAAAGTAGAATTTGGACTAAAAATCATAGGATATGGGAGCAATAGAAGCATCCAATTACGATGTTTTGTGGATTTACGAAATTGCCCTTATGGCCAAGACCAATTTAGTGTGCAATTAGATCCTAAATAACCTCATAATCAAAAAATTTTAGCATATAATTAGATCATAAGTATCTAAGATTGATGAATATATTTGTATCAAATATTCAAGAGGTAAAGCATTCACTCTCAAAAAGTAAATATATAAAACATTTTGAATTAATCTTTTTTTCCGGCACTATCAATGTATTCAATTTGAATTTTAATATCGACTTTTACATATATAATATGCATTTATATCCATCAGTATACACGTATGAAAAATTTACTCAAACATTTTATCTCGGTAAATAGTAAGCAACTTTCTCATATTTGTACCAAGAAAAGTCGAATACATTGTTCATATTCCTCCAAAATTTTGAGAAGTCAAGCGTTTTAACCGGTAAACTAGTTAACCTTATCCAACTTGCCTCACTCACACTGGAAAATGCAGACCCAAAACCTCCCTTTTGCTAAAGACCTAAACCCTCCCCTCTTCAACTTTCAACCCCCATCATCATTTTTCAAGTTCTTAAACCCTCTTCACAGAAGCATTGTTCCAATTCACCCCTCTTCTGGAACCTCAAAACCCCTTAAAATCCATTGCCAAAACCCCACCCCACAATTTTCCCGCCAAAATGCCACCCACCAGAGGGACGTCCGGTCCTTTGCCGGACGGAGCAAAGGGAAGCCCGGAGGTACCTCCACTGGGCGCATCGAGGGTAACGCTGAAGTCCGTCGACAGGCTAAGCGAAACGCTCGCCGGAAAAGCAGGAAATTGGCAGAGAGCTTGTTTTACAGACTGAAGAACCCTAACAAGAATTACCCGGACAATTTATCCGAAGAGCAGCTTGAGATGATTGGTCTAGGATATGATAGAATGGTTAGGTTTATGGAAAAAGATGATCCAAATCTTAGGCACCCGTACGATTGGTACAAGTATGGTGAATTTGGACCTTATTCTTGGCGTGGGGTGGTTTTAGGTGAGCCAATTCATGGACGGATTACCGATGAGTGTGTAACTTTGATTGGTGAAGTTCGCAATCAAGAAGAGTGGGAGAAGATCGAGCAGTTTGAAATGGCTCGAGAATTTCAAACTAGATTAGATGCAATGGATAAAAATGTTAAGTTCAGGAATTTTTGGGTGTTTGTCAGGCATCCTAGGTGGAGGGTTTCGGAGTTGCCTTGGCAACAGTGGACTTTGGTAAGCGAGCTGGTTCTTGAAGCTGGGGATCAGAGGTTGGATAAGTGGAATTTGATGGGAAGGCTCGGAAATAAGGCAAGGTCCATGATTACACAGTGTGCAGCGTGGATGAGGCCTGATATAATTTATGTGAAGAGGCCAGTTTATCAGTGTAGATTTGAGCCTCAAGATGACTTTTTTAAGGAATTGACACCGTTGCTTGATCCACAGACTGAGGGGGATTTTTTGTTCCAGTTGGTGAATGATGATGGGAGGGTGGAATTCTGTACTTATTTTGGTGGATTATGTAGAATAGTGAAGGCGAATTCAAAGGCGTTTGTAGATGATGTTGTGAATGCTTATGAGAAGTTGAGTGATGAGAAGAAGTCGAAGTGCTTGGAGTTTTTATTGAACAACCATCCAGTGCCTCTGTTGCATCCATATACTAAGGAGTGGAAGGTGAAATTGGAGGAAATGGAGTTGGGTTGTGACGCCCCAGATGATGAGAATGGCGATCATGGTGATAATGATGAGGAAGGTCAGATAATGGACTGGATTGAGGATGATGGCGACGAAAATGATGGAAGGAGTGAAGTGGAGGATGGTGAAGACGATGATGCAATTTTGGATGTAGAGGATGCTGGAGATGATGAGTTGGGAATCAAGGAGGAAGAAGAGGATTTCGGTCCTGAAGAGGATCCAAACTACTGGGATGCGGAATTTAAGAAGGCATTGAGCAGTAATGAAGCAATGGAAAAGCTTGCAAAACGAGGCTTAGAGATATCTAACAAAATCTATGAAAAGCAGATTAGAGCAATGGAAAGGAGGGGCAAAGGGACAGTTGAAGAAGATGGGGATGAATTGGCAATGAGGCGAACAAGAGCAAAGGTCAGTCCAGCAGAATGGAAGAATCTCGGTTACGGTCCTTTCAGGAAAAGGATCAAAAAGAGTAAAGTACCGCCTGGTTTGTTCTTACGAGCTGCTGTTAGACCATTCACTTACAGAAACCTAGTCAAAGAGATTGTTTTGACAAGACATGCCATCATAGAAGGAGAGATTGGTAGGAAGAAGTGATATGTAGGTATTTTGACGGGTCTGGGAGTATGAATATCGCCAAAACATCAATGGCTATTTTTGCAGCTTCAGTCTGCAGCTAGTACTTCATGCTTGCATGATTTCTTACCTCTGCAGAGCTTGACTCGAAGCCTCAATACTTTGAGCTGTCCTTGCAAAACTTAACACCAAGTATGCCTTTCTTAATCTTTACTTTGAATCACATCTGAAGAAGCCTCTGGATAGGGATGTATCAACTATTGTCTGAGTATATGGTCCATACTGTAATCGAGCAGTGGCAATTCAAACCCTCTGCTCGAGATTTGCTCTATCCTAGGTTAGTGAAGCATATAAAAAAAAATGTATCACTGTTTACCGTTTAGTTTGTCCGTTGATGTTTTTCAATTATTCCATTATGGATGATTGGATATAGTATCGATAAGACACCTTCACGCTGCATTATTATGAAACCAAAATAAGGGATCAGAAACTTTCACCTCCCCCCCCCCCTCTTCTCTCTCTCTCTCTTTTTTAGAGTTTATGGACACTAATGTACGAGTGGATTTCAGTTTAGCAAGCAATCTCCTATCATGTAACTGTTGATTTGCAGGGCTTCAAATGCATTGAGTTGTTAGCACGCAAAACATTACAATAAGCTAAAAATTGCTTGCTAATCCTTCAGAAACTATGCTGTTATTCCTGCTTACTGGTGTTCCTAAAGGGATGCTCAGAACCATTGGTAGGATGAATCTTTCAGTGCTACTTATCCAAAGGAAGGCGAAACACGACTCCAAAAGGAAGAAAATTAGATGCAACATAATCACCATAAAGGTCACAATAAACTGTTCACAATGAGGTCAATAACTACAATGTTCTCCCATTGGACCATCTGCTCTTCACTATCTACAGAATGAGTTACTCGAATTATGTCCTTCAGTTGCATAAAGTCACAAGTACACTGTTAGATGCCAGATTTTAACTGTTGAAGTACTGCTCCGGTAGATAGAATTTTAATCCAATGGCCTGCAATATACATAAAACCAGCCCATCAATCCAATTTTCATAAACTTTACCAAATCACAAAAGAGGGTGAAGAGGAAGTGACTTTACCCAAGAGTACCACAGGTGAAGTAATGAAGACACTAGCATTAAAATAAGGATATTATGTTTGTTAAATAAAGACTGATAAAATTATGCATGTCAAACAAGGAATCAGTAATGACTAAAGACAACTGAAAGATCATCCAGCCGCAAAACAATGTGCGATATTTCAACTATACTTTGGATACACAAGGTTGAATGACTGATCAAGCAATCAAGCAAGAAATCATAAGTAGCGCAACAGATCATCTTAATAATAAGTAGCATCCAGTTATGAGCTATCTAGCTGCTTGGAGGTTCAAAAGTCAAATACGCTCACTACCTCTGCAAATTTGATATCAGCATCACTATGATCATTTGGTCTTCCAGCAGCATCACCGACATAAAAGGAGCTATAAAAAATAAAAAATAAAATTCAACAAACCAATTGTGCAAGTTCTCGTAGCAAGTATAATTTAGACTATCAAGTCACTCAATGAAAAGCCATATGGCCAATAAATCCAGAATTGGCAGGAAAGAGTGGAAGGACAATAACTGATCCATGTCAATTAGAAGACCGGAATTGAAGTGCTTCTCCATGATATGCCACATCCCAGTTTTTGGTTTGCGATAGGCATCCTCTGGTTGACAGTTACTTAGTCCACAAGCAATAAAAACCTGCATATGGATTTGTGCAATGAAGAATTGAGTAGGTTTCCACAAGAAAAGGAATTACTCTTTAGTAGACACAGCAGACTCAAAAAGTTTATCATGGTGGTAGTCTACAATATCAACTTTTTTGTTTAGTTCTTTTTCCAGAAAACTAAACAAACAATAAACCATTACAAAAAAGAAATACTGGATGACAAACATTAGCATGAAATTTGTTGGTAAATGTCTTCACAAATCTAATTCCAGCCATTTTTCATTAGAATACAGTCATGTTGAACACCTCATGCATCCTTCTATTACAAATGTTTGACATTCCAGGCATACAGTTGATTTTGGAATTTATTTTACTACTTGATTGTAAAAGAAGCTAAGTTTCAAGTAGAAAATAACCACATGCCTCCTCGCAAACAATGATGGTCTACCAAGAAAAAAGTAACAATCCATTTAAGTTACTCCATTGATAGATTTGACACCAAGCCAAACCAACCTGAATTGGAACTTTTACAAGCTTTATGAAGCTTTCAATTCGCCCAATTTTCGAGTCCACTGCAACCTGTCTCTTCTTCTTCCAGCGCTCAATATTAGATTCATTAGTGAAAATAACCTAGTAAAAATGAAGATAATTCAGTAAGAGAGGAAAACAAAATAGTCAAAGACAGAAACTATAGTCAACTTGATCAGCAGCACCACGAATTTCATAATTCACAAACTAGTAAAGAAAGATTAAAGATTAAACAAGAAAAAGAGTCACACCAGCTTGTAGCCTTCATCATATAATCTCTGCAGCTTCTCTGGTATTGAAGGATACATAAGAGACCATGCATCTGCACCTATTCTAAAAGAAAAAGTAAATGTCAAGTTCTTCCAATTACGCTTCAAATAAAGATCCCCTGTAATACACAGAAAATTTATGGTTCCGAACAAGTTTGACACATATGACAAATCCAATCCAAACAACAACCAAAAGCTGCAAAACATGTTGCTAACTTTACTATAGTATATTCACTACCTCTGATATAAGAGCAATCCAGATTTCTCAGTTGTTGTTTCCATTCCAGTAGCACCACTTACTGCTCAGCCACTTAGCTAGATGTCGTATTCACTTACAGAGCATCTATGTTCCAAACTTTATTTTAATTTGAGCTTGATGTTTTAGAAGTTTAATGAAAGAAAAAGGTCTAGCTTGCAGATTAGAAAACTTAAATATGTCCATGTAGTCCTGATTGTAAGCACTAAAAATGCTAACAACCAAGTCAATAGATTTTAAACATCTTCACACTATTATTCATGAATATCACAACAATAATACCTTGTTAGAAGGCAATGGTTCCTCACGCAATATACAGCAACAAAGTTTGACTATTATACTAATCTAGACTTTTTTTTCATGTGACATCTTTCGTTCAAGAAAATGCAAAAGTCAAAATATGGGAATCTAAATAGATATATTACTTGTGGATTTGATACTTTTAAAAGACAATAAATCAGAAACAAAAAGGAATTTCATTCAGAAAGGTTAGCTTCACCCAACAAAGTTTAACTATGGAATTGTTGCTATTTTAGCAGGCCAAATTCAACTTCCTAACTTTATTGCACAAGAGTTCTAATGAAATTTTTTGATGCATATAAAAGATGGGAAATATGACATACTTGTTCACTGCTGTCTTGGCAAGACAACCATCAAAATCAAATGCAGCAATCTTCGTTGAATCATGAAGACCATCAACCTAAGAATTTAATATGAGATTTATCAAATGATGTACTGCAGTAAGGAACTCCAGAACAAACAAGGACTTCCAATATAACAGAAAGTTTAATTTCACAAAGTGGAGCAACAGAGATGTACTTTAAAGATGAATGTGTAGCACAAATAAAATCTTAATAATTATCTATGTAAAATAAGCCAGCTATAGCATGAATAAGTCTTACAGGGTTCTGTCATCTTCACAAGTGATATTCCATGATTCCTACTCACCCGTTCAAGAAATATGATAGTTTGGAATGCTTTCCACTGGGGCAGCAATGCAGCGTCCTGAATTTCAAAACGATATGAATAGGTAGGATGCATGATTAGAAAAAAGAAGACCAGTTGCTGGAACAGATTCTACTTATTATTCCCTAAATCTAGAATAATTCAGTAGCTCCAAACCAGTTGCCTAAAATTTGAGCATACCTTGTACTTTTCCTTGATCTCAGTAGCAGAAAATGTGATCTCCAGCTTGCTGCCCTTGTCAGACTCAGATAGCTAATGGTAATTGGATGCAAGCGGTAGTTAAAAAAGGCAAAAAAATAAATGTGGGCAAATACTACTGAGAAGTACATCTTTGGTGCACAAGGAAGTAAATATATCGAGGACAAGTAGCAGAATGAATCACATGGTGTAACACTGAAGGTCCGTGCGTGATATAAGGAGAACCAGAAAGCAGCATTTATCCATGTTATTTTAAATGTGGTGCTGAATAAGTCATGAATGTGGTGTGGTTGGAAGGTATCAAATATGCTAGTACAATAAAATGAAACCAACAATACCACTGTCACCATATCTACAACAACCACAAAATTAAAGAGCCTCCAGTTCATCTGAGGAGGTACCTTTTTCTTCTTCACTTTTTGTTTCTCCATCTCATAACTCTCATCTTCATCATCTCGTCTGAGAACCTATTGAAAGTGGAGGGCATTAAGGCCTTTAAGATTATTAACATATGGCAAGAGATTAACATTAGAAATCTTACCTTGAATTCCTTGGTTTCAGTAATAGAATCTTTTTCTCCATCCAAAACCTGAAATGTCAAACAGCTATTATGAGTTATATAGAGAGCTCATACTGAGGACCACATGTTAAATACAATTGAATACCTGCACCGATAAGCTTAAATAGTTTCTAAATACAAGTTTATAACATGCAAGTTGCTTCATTATCACAGTAGCATATTGCCTTACAGTTTTATAGCATATAGTTGCATAAGCCATGAATTGGTAACATTGCTAGAAACTAAATGTTTGAATTTCAGGAGTACTTCACAATGTCACAGGGCAGTTTCACTGTCCAAAGCAAGAACTCCAAAGACCTGTGAACAATGTAATGAACAATACCAAAAAACCATGAAGGATCCACAAAACAAATGCTTGACTAAGAAGAGTCCTAACAGGCTCATGAAGCATTATCTCAAGTTGCAGAATATTCTAACTAGATGTGAGAGAAGTCATTGTCCACCACAAGTCGTAACGAAGACGGACTCCACTTAAGGCATTAGTAGAGGAGATCACGCATAATCCTCTCCATCTTATACTGAATTTCGCATTGCATATTGAACAGATGACCATAGCATCAAGGTGCAAAGAGGAGCTTATAAGAGTAAAAGACTATCTGTGGTGCAACATTTCACAAATAATATACCTTGTCTAGAGCCTGAACACTTTCCTTCATCAATTTCTTTAGTTCTTCTTGATCACTGCTCTGCATAGCCACAACCACAAAAATAACCAAATAAAATGAAGTCGACCCCACAGATTCTCTCAACTTCAAATCCAGCAGCCAAAAAAAAAAGCCATCTTTTTTAAAAGAAAATTTCTAATTTCACGGTAACAAGATTCTACTAATACTCGGTTTTCTAATATTCAAAAGTTTAACTGTTAGTTTCAAACAGTAATTTCCACTTCCCAGTATAGCCTACTATTTTGCTACTAAACTAAAATCTTCTTAAATAAAAAAAAATAATGGAGAAATCCTTCGGAAGAAATTAAAATGC